GCAAATCAAATCTAACATTATATTTAAAAAAGAACACATCAAGACCAAGTGGAGCTTATTCCAGGAATGCAGCATTGGTTCAACTGCTGAAAAATCAATATAACTGACCATACTAACAAACTTCAAAAAATTGATCATTTCGTTTGCAAATATTTTCTTCCATTCTGAGGGTTAACTTTTCCTTTTAGTTATGGTTTCCTTTGCTGTGCAAAGGCTTATACGTTTGATTCAGTCCCATTTGTTAATTTTTGCTTTTATTTTCATTACTCAAAGATGTAGATTGAAAAAGATCTTGCTGCGATTTATGTCATGGAGTGTTCTGCTTACATTTTCCTCTAAGAGTTTTATAGTATCCGGTCTCATACATTTAGGTCTTTAATCCATTTTGAGTTTAGTTTTGTGGATGGTGTTAGGGAGTGTTCTATTTCATTCTTTTATATGGAGCTGCCCAGTCTTCTCAGCACCACTTATTTAAGAGACTGTCTTTTCTTCATTGTATATTCTTGCCTCTTTTGCAACAGATTAGGTGTGTGGGTTTATCTCTGGAATTTCTATCCTGTTCCATTGATATGTATTTCTTTTTGTGCCAGTACGAATCTTTCCAAAAATACACAAACAGCTCATGCACCTTAATGTCAAAAAACAACCCAATCAAAAAGTAGACAGAAGATCTAAACAGATATTTCTTCGAGAAGACATACAGATGGCCAAAAAGTATATGAAAAGATGCTCAACATCACAATTATTAAAGAAATGAATATCAAAACTACAATGAGATAGCACCTCATACCAGTGAGAAGGGCCATCACCAAAAAATTTATAAACAATAAATGCTGGAGAGGACATGGAGAAAAGGGAATCCTCCTACAGAGTTGGTGGGAATGTAAACTGGTATAGACACTATGGAGAACAGTATAGAGATTCCTTAAAAAATTAAAAATAGAGCTATAATATAATCCAGCAATCCTACTCCTGGGCATATATCCAGAGAAAACAGTAAGTCAAAAGGATACATGACCATTCACTGCACCATTATTTACAATACCTAGGACATGGAAGTGACCTAAATGTCCATCTACAGAGTAATGGATAAAGAAGATGTGGTATAAATATATGATGGAATATTACTCAAGCACTAAGAAGAGTGAAATAATGCCACTTGCAGCAACATGGATGGACCTAGGGATTGTCATACTGAGTGAGAAAGTCAGACAAAGACAAATATAATGATAATACCTATATGTGGAAGCTAAAAAAAGGGTACAAAAAATTTAAAAAGGGTACAGATGAACTTATCTGCAAAACAAAAATAGAGTTACAGATGTAGAAAAGAAACTTACGACTACTAGGGTTTAAGGGGAAGGAGAGACAAACTGAAAGACTGGTACTGACATACACACTACAGTATATAAAAGCAATAACTAATAGGGACCTACTGTATAGAACAGGGAACTCTATTTAATATTCTGAAACAGCCTATATTGGTAAAGAATCTAACAAAGAGTCAACATATGTATATGTATAACAGACTATCTTGGTTGCACACCTGAAACTAATACAATACTGTATAAATACTTCAGTTTAATTAGTATTAAAGTATACTCCAATAAAAGTTTTTTAACTTGATAATTTCAACGGATGTAAAAACAATCATGACCAAATTCAACATCCATTTCTAATTAAAAACATCTAGGAAACTGGAAACAGAAGGGAACTTTCTCAATCTGATAAAAAGTATCTATGAAAAACCTATAGCTAACATCATACTTAATGATTGAAAATTGGATGGTTTCCCTCTAAAGTCAGGAAAAAGTCAAGGATGTCTTGCTCTTTACCAATTTTACTCAACACTGTGCTGGAGATTCTAACAAGAACAATAACGCATGAAAAACTGCACCCAGACTGGACAGAAAGTAGTAAGATTGTCTTTATTTGTAGACAACATCACATCCACAAGAAAGCTACTGGAAGCAATAAGTGAATTTAGAAGTCTGTAGGATACAAGATCAATATGCAAAAATCATTTGTATTTCTACATACTAGCAATGAACAATCAGAAAGTCCAAGTTTTTTTCAAAATGCCATTTGAAATAGCATAAAATATATAGTGTACTTAAGGATAAATCTGACAAAAGATGAGTAAGACTGATATGATAAAAGATAGAAAAGCTCTCTGAGAGAAATTAAACAGCTAAACAAATGGAGGTATATAACCCCATTTCACAGATTGGAAGATGTTGATTCTCTCCATACTGATGTATATATACATTCAATGGAATCCCAGTCAATATTTACTTTTGTAGAAATTGAAAAAACTGATTCTAACATTCAGAGATGTACAAAGGACTTAGCCCAAACAATTTGAAAGAGAAGAATAAAGTTGGAGGACCAACACCACCTGATTTCAAATTTACTATATAGTTACATTAATCAAGACAGCGTGGGAATGGTGTAAAGATAATTAGATCGGTGGAACACAAGGAAGAGTCCAAAAAGGGACCCATACACATATGACAGCTGATTATCATTAAAGGTGCAAACGCAATTCAGTTGGGAAAGGACAGAGTTTATAAATAAATGAAACAGGAATGATTAGGTAGCCATGTGCCAATAAAGGTATGGATATACCTTAAGTCAAAAAAATGCAAAATGGATCACAGAACTAACCATAAGCTTTAAACCTAAAACCACAAAATTTCTTGAAGAAAATATAGGGAAAACTTTTTGTGACCGTGGATTAAGTAAAGATTTCTTAGTTACAATACCAAAAAGATCCATAAAAGAAGAAACAAATATAAATTAGACTTCATCAAATTTGTCATGAAATACACGAAGAAAATAAAAAGAAAAAAATTTATAAAACACATATCTGATAAATAACTTGTATTTAAAATATATAAAGAACTTTCAAAATTCAATAAAAATATAAAAGCTCCTTATATAAAACTGAGCAAAAGATTTGTACAAACACTCCACCAAACAAGATGTATGGATGTCAAATATTAGACATTATGGAAATACTAATTATAATCTCATCATGATATCTCGACCTGCTAATTAGAATGACTAAAGAAATTTTCCAGTGGACAATTCCAAGTGCTGGTGAGGATGCAGATCAACTGGAACTTTTAATATATAGCTAGTTAGAGCATAAAACTGTAGAGCCATTTTAGAAAAGAGCTTGGCAGTTTCTAACAAACATATACTTATCATATGACCCAGCAAACTTATTCCTCAATATTTACCCTAGAGAAGTGAAATCTTGTCATTGCACAAAATCTGTAAACAGATGTTTATCACACCTTTATTCATAATCACCCACAATGGAAACCATTTGAATATCCATCAACTGGTAAATGTATAAACTGCAAATGTATATTGCATAAAATTCATTCATACTTATGAAATACTACTTAGCAATAAAAAAAGAACAAACTATATCAGTATGAATGAGTTTTAAAGGCACACACAACAGTATGAATGAGTTTCAAATGCATTATACTAAGTGAAAGAAAAAAAGCTTCATACTATATGAGTCCATTTATATGACATTCTGGAAAAGGAAAAATTATATAGAGAAATGAGATTAGTAGGAATCAGGGCTAGAAGTAGTGGGAAGGAGAGACAACAAAGAGGCATGAAGTTAATTTTTTGTTCTATATCTTGATTGTGGTGCTGGTTACACGAGTGTATGCAACTGTCAAAACTGACAGAAAAAATTAAATAAATAAATAAACTCCAAAAAAAACCTGACAGAATTACTAAAATAAATCAATCTTATAAAATCATACACTAGGCAATAATAAATTTTATTGTATGTATCTTCAATAAACATGACTAAAAATGATCACACATAAATGGGGAAGAAATAAAAGACTGAGTTTATGTTATGCTTAAAAAGTAAAATCATTTTAATAGAATGTTAAAAGAAAAAGTTTAATGGGAAATCTGGTTGTGTGGGGTTATTTTTTGCTATTTCTGTTGGCAAAAGTTTCAAGTTCTTCTATACTTCAGCATAATATATCAAGAAAAATAAATGCTCAGAAATCTCTAGTAAAAACCTTAATGATGGACATTGACAGCAATATTAACCTTGATAAAGAGCTGATTCCAATTTGTTATTCCTTAATTAATATACAAGTATACTTTACTACCCTAGAACACTTCTTTTTCAAAGAAAAAATATCTTAGAGTGAATAATGAAGTCTACTGCACATACAGTAGTATTCATAAATAGCTGCTTAACTAGATTAGTATAAATTCTGTTTGAATCCATTAACTCAAGTTTCTCAATTTTTCTCCTTGTACCCTTAACAAAGGGCAACCAGTCTGGAGTTCACATTGCTCCAGGATTTGCTCAGTCATGCAGAGCTGAGCAGGAATAATATCACAGCATAGGGAAACCTATAACCAAGTCAAGATACCCATGTGTGCAGACAACTAGCAAGGAAACTATGCTTAACAGAAAGGACAAAGCACTAATGGGATATGGTTCATGTGAGCAATTTTAACACTGTCAACTTTGTGGAGAAAAATTCCATTTTCAGGGCCAAATATCTCACTGATAACTTCCCAGGTTAAGTGAAAACAATTAAAAGGTATTCTGGAGACTTCCATCCTCTAAAGACAAAATCTTAACTGACTGAATTATAAGTTCTCCCTGCCCCCAGCTTTCTAAGGTTAATTTTTAATAGGTTGGTTCAAATGACAAAGTATAAAAAAGTCTACAGTGACAAGACTTCCCCACAAATCTTGTACGATATCCACCTAGTTCCTATTCCTTCAGTAGGTAGACCTTTTGCTTTTATTTTGATGCAACCTTCCACAGTTTCTTGTTGCATGGTTGTATCATCTTTACATAGGGAAGCTAGCATATATATACACACACACATATATATATTCAACTCCATTGTCTTAAAGACTACTATTTTCTTTTATGGTCAAAGATGATTATTCTTTGTGTTAACAGACAAATATAAACTTATAAGTAACATTTATACCTCTGCCAGAGTTGCCCTCCACGATTGAAATCTTGAATATATAAAACTGAGTGAAAATATTTCTAGGATCACGTTGTGCAGCTTCTATAATTGCCTCTTTAGCCTGAAAAAAAAAAAAAAAGAAATATTAGTGTCCTTTTATAAAACACATAAGGAAGACCTTACCATATTTTACTAATGCTATCAATATAGTCACAATGGCTTAGGGACACTCATAATGAAAAGACATGAACATGAGAAAAATCTTTAAAGAACCGTTCTATCACAATGCAATAGAAATCAATACTTCTGCTCCTGAAAACAGGGCACATTATATATGTCAAACCAACATAACACATTTTATATGTCAAACCTACTTAAAACAAGCAAAAATGTTGGATAACATTTTTTTTTTAATTCCAAAATCAACTGACTAGTAAAGCAATTACCAAGAAATATCTAAGGAAAAGTGAGATCCTACAGAAGTAAATGGAGATTTAAAACCACTTAAAACATTTATTTATTTATTCATTTATTGGCTATGCTGTGCAGCATGTGGGAACTTAGTTTGCCAACCAAGGATCAAACCCACACCCCTGCATTGGAAAAATGGAGTCTTAACTACTGGACCATGAGAGAAGTCCAGCCACTTTCTTTTTCTGGTGGGCATTTGTAAACCTAGGCAAATGCTAACTTTAACTTAGCAAAACTAGGTCAGGAAAATAGACATCAAAGCTCAAGAGACCATACTCTTAGGCTAAGGGTAAATCAGAAGTAAACTCACTTTTATCCACATTCTCAGGAGACTGCAAAAAAAGTTACCTTGTTTCTGAGAAAAATGAAAAATATAGGGTAGGGAGAATCAATCCCAAAGGTATAATATCAACAGACTCTCTCGTGTATTTACAGCCCCAAATCATATTATACAGGAGGCCAAAAGATATCAACCTATGAATTTATCTTTCATTGATATCAAACACGGAGCTGACTGTGGCACAGATCATGAATTCCTTATTGCCAAATTCAGATGTAAATTGAAGAAAGTAGGGAAAACCACTAGACAATTCAGGTATGACCTAAGTTAAATCCCTTATGATTATACAGTGGAAGTGACAAATAGATCCAAGAGATTAGATCTGATAGACAGACTGCCTAAAGAACTATGGATGGAGGTTAGTGACATTGTACAGGAGACAGGGATCAAGACCATCCCTAAGGAAAAGAAATGCAAAAAGGCAAAACGGTTGTCTGAGGAGGCCTTACTTACAAATAGCTGTGAATAGAAGAGAAGTGAACGGCAAAGGAGAAGGAAAGATATACCCATTTGAATGCAGAGTTCCAAAGAATAGCAAGGAGAGATAAGAAAGCCTTCCTCAGAGATCAGTGCAAATAAATAGAGGAAAACAACAGAATAGGAAAGACTAGAGATCTCTTCAAGAAAATCAGATACCAAGGGAACATTTCACGCAAAGATGGGCTCAATAAAGGACAGAAATGGTATGGACCTAACAGAAGCAGAAGATATTAAGAAAAGGTGGCAAGAATACACAGAAGAACTGTACAAGAAAGATCTTCGAGACCCAGATAATCATGATGTTGTGATCACCCATCTAGAGCCAGACATCCTGGAATGCAAAGTCAAGTGGGCCTTAGGAAGCATCACTATGAACAAAGCGAGTGGAGGTGAGGGAATTCCAGTTAAGTTACTTAAAATCCTAAAAGATGATGCTGTGAAAGTGCTGCACTCAATATGTCAGCAAATTTGGAAAACTCAGCAGTGGCCACAGGACTGGAAAAGGTCAGTTTTCATTCCAATCCCTAAGAAAGGCAATGCCAAAGAATGCTCAAACTACCGTACAACTGCACTCATCTCACATGCTAGTAAAGTAATGCTCAAAATTCTCCAAACCAGGCTTCAACAGTATGTGAACCATGAACTTCCAGATGGTCAAGCTGGTTTTAGAAAAGGCAGAGGAACCAGAGATCAAACTGCCAACATCTGTTGAATCATCAAAAAAGCAAGAGAGTTACAGAAAAACATCTACTTCTGCTTTGTTGACTATGCCAAAGCCTTTGACCGTGTGGGCCACAACAAACTCTGGAAAATTCTTAAAGAGATGGGAATACCAGACCACGTTACCTGCCTCCTGAGAAATCTGTATGCAGGTCAGGAAGCAACAGTTAGAACGGGACATGGAACAACAGACTGGCTCCAAATAGGGAAAGGAGTATATCAAGGCTGGATATTGTCATCCTGCTTATTTAAATTATATACAGAGTACATCATGAAAAACTCTGGGCTGGATGAAGCACAAGCTGGAATCAAGATTGCTGGGAGAAACATCAAATAACCTCAGATATGCAGATGACACCACCCTTATGGCAGAAAGTGAAGAAGAACTAAAGAGCCTCTTGATGAAGGTGAAAGAGGAGAGTGAAAAAGTTGGCTTAAGTGCTCGCTTCGGCAGCACATATACTAAAAATTGGAATGATACAGAGAAGATTAGCATGGCCCCTGCGCAAGGATGACACGCAAATTCGTGAAGCGTTCTATATTTTTAAAAGGAAACTACAAGCAAGGTGAAAAGAGAGCCCTCAGACTGGGAGAAAATAATAGCAAATGAAGCAACAAAGGATTAATCTCAAAAATATACAAGCAACTCCTGCAGCTCAATTCCAGAAAAATAAATGACCCAATCAAAAAATGGGCCAACGAACTAAACAGACATTTCTCCAAAGAAGACATACAGATGGCTAACAAACACATGAAAAGATGCTCAACATCACTCATTATCAGAGAAATGCAAATCAAAACCACAATGAGGTACCATTACACGCCAGTCAGGATGGCTGCTGTCCAAAAGTCTACAAGCAATAAATGCTAGAGAGGGTGTGGAGAAAAGGGAACCCTCTTACACTGTTGGTGGGAATGCAAACTAGTACAGCCGCTATGGAGAACAGTGTGGAAATTCCTTAAAAAACTGGAAATAGAACTGCCATATGACCCAGCCGTCCCACTTATGGGCATACACACCGAGGAAACCAGATCTGAAAGAGACACGTGCACCCCAATGTTCATCGCAGCACTGTTTATAATAGCCAGGACATGGAAGCAACCTAGATGCCCATCAGCAGACGAATGGATAAGGAAGCTGTGGTACATATACACCGTGGAATATTACTCAGCCATTAAAAAGGAATTCATTTGAATCAGTTCTAATGAGATGGATGAAACTGGAGCCCATCATACAGAGTGAAGTAAGCCAGAAAGATAAAGACCAATACAGTATACTAATGCATATATATGGAATTTAGAAAGATGGTAACAATAACCCTATATGCAAAACAGAAAAAGAGACACAGATGTACAAAACAGAAAAAGAGACACAGATGTACAGAACAGAATTTTGGACTCTGTGGGAGAAGGCGAGGGTGGGATGTTTCGAGAGAACAGCACTGAAACATGTATATTGTATATGGTGAAACAGATCACCAGCCCAGGCTGGATGCATGAGACAAGTGCTCAGGCCTGGTGCACTGGGAAGACCCAGAGGAATCAGGTGGAGAGGGAGGTGGGAGGGGGGATCGGGATGGGGAATACATGTAAATCCATGACTGATTAAAAAACCACTACAATATTGTAAAGTAATTAGCCTCCAACTAATAAAAATAATTGGAAAAAAAAATTTGGCTTAAAACTCAGCATTCAGAAAACTAAGATCATGGCATCTGGTCCCATCACTTCATGGCAAATAGATGGGGAAACAGTGGAAACAGTGACAGACTTTATTTTGGGGGGCTCCAAAATCACTGCAGATGGTGATTGCAGCCATGAAAGTAAAAGACGCTGAGTCCTTGGAAGGAAAGTTATGACCAAACTAGATAGCATATTAAAAAGCAGAGACATTACTTTGTCAACAAAGGTCCGTCTAGTTAAGGCTATGGTTTTTCCAGTAGTCATGTATGGATGTGAGAGTTGGACCTTAAAACTGAGCGCCGAAGAATTGATGCTTTTGAACTGTGCTTCAAGACTCTTGAGAAGTCCCTTGGACTGCAAGGAGATCAAACCCATCCATCCTAAAGGAGATCAGTCCTGGGTGTTCATTGGTTGGAATGATGTTGAAGCTGAAACTCCAATACTTCGGCCACCTGATGTGAAGAGCTGACTCATTTGAAAAGACCCTGATGCTGGGAAAGATTGAGGGCAGGAGGAGAAGGGGACGACATAGGATGAGATGGTTGAATGGCATCACTGACTCAACGGACATGGGTCTGGGTGGACTCCGGGAGTTGGTGATGGACAGGGAGGCCTGGCATGCTGTGGTTCATGGGGTCGCAAAGAGTCGGACACGACTGAGTGATTGAACTGAACAACCCCAAATGTTTTACATGTGCTGCTGCTAAGCCACATTTCATTTATTCTGTTCTTTTATTCAAGTACAGGATGTATTGTTGTTCCCTGTTTGTCTTCATCTTGTTCGAATGGGCTCATCATTTCACCTATTGAGATGCCTTCAGATCAGACTCTGTCATCTAATGCATTAGTTACTCTTTTCAACTTTAGGTCATATGTACATTCAATCAATAATCACAAAAGATCTTCATTTACATATTATTAATTTAAATCCATATGGTATGTATCACAATTTGATATTCAATTGCATACTTTTTACATTCTAATTATTTCATGTACATAAATCTCATTTTCACAATAGTATTTTATCTATAGAAAGTATCATGTCCTTTATTTATTTATCCTTTATTATCATGTCCTTTATTAATCCTATAGTTGCTGTTGTTCAGTCATTCAGTCATGTCTGACTCTTTGCGACACAATGGACTGCAGCACGCCAGGCCTCCCTGTACTTCACCACCTCTTGGAACTTGCTCAAAACTCATGCCTTTTGAGTCAGTGATGCCATCCAACCATCTCATCCTCTGTTGCCCCCTTCTCTTGCCCTCAATCTTTCCTCGCATCAGGGTCTTTTCTAATAACTTGGCTCTTCGCATCAGGTGGCCAAAGGATTGGAGCGTCAGCTTCAGTATCAGTCCTTCCAATGAATACTCAGGGTTGATTTCCTTTAGAACTGAACAGTTTGTTCTTGCTTTCCAAGGGACTCTCAAGAGTCTTCTCCAGCACCATAATTCAAAAGCGTAAGTTCTTTGGCATTCAGCCTTCTCTATGGTCCAACTCTATGTCTGTATATGACTACTGGAAAAACCATAGCTTTGACTATACGGACCTTTGTCAGTCAAGTGATTTCTCTGCTTTTTAATACGCTAAGTTTGTCATAGCTTTTCTTCCAAGGAGCAAGCATCTTTTGATTTCATGACTGCACTCACCATCTGCAGTGATTTTGTAGCCCAAGAAAATAAATTCTGTCACTGTTTCCCCATCTATTTGCCATGAGGTGATGGGACCAAATGCTGTGACCTTAGTTTTTGAAACACTGAGTTTTAAGACTGCTTTTTCACTTTACTCTTTCAACTTCATCAAGAGATTCTTTAGTTCCTCTTCCCTTTCTGCCATTAGAGTGGTGTAATCAGCATATCTGAGATTATTACATTTCTCCTGGCAATCTTGATCCCATCTTGAGCTTTATCCAGCCTGGCATTTCACATGATGTACTCTGCATATACGTTAAATAAACAGGGTGACAATACACAGCCTTGACACACTCCACTCCCAATTTTGAATGAGTCTGTTGTTCCATGTCCAGTTCTAATACAGTTCTAACATCTGTTTATTGATCTGCATATAGGTTTCTCTGAAAGCAGGTAAGGTAGTCTGGTATTCTCATCTCTTTAAGAATGTTCCAGTTTGTTGTGATCCACACAGTCAAAGGCTTTAGTGTAGTCAATGAAGGAGAAGTCCATGTTTTTCTGGAATTCCCTTGCTTTTACTATGATCCAATGGATGTTGGCAATTTGATCTCTGATTCCTCTGCCTTTTCTAACTCCAGTTTGTACATCTGGAAGATCTCCTCCATTCACATACTATTGAAAACTAGCTTGAAGGATGTCAAGCATAACCTTGCTAGCATGTGAAATGAGTGCAACTGTGCAGTACTTGAACATTCTTTGTACAAGGCATAATTATGTGTGTGTGTGTGTGTGCTCAGTCAGTCACTCAGTAGTGTCTGACTCTTTGCGACCCTATGTACTGTAGCCCACCAGGCTCCTCGTTTATGGGATTATCCAGGCATGAATGGAGTGGGTTGCCATTTCCTACTCCAGGGGATCTACTGAATTCTGGGACTGAACTTGGGTCTCTTGCATCTTCTACATTGGCAGGTAAATTCTTTACCACTGCGCCACCTGGGAAGCCCACCAGGCATAGATCAGGTTTTCAATAAATATCTGTTGACTTAAAACCTAAATTATAGTGTTTTTACATTACGGCTGTACCAAGAATGAGTCAACATCAATCTTCACCTCAGGGTTATTTAAGTGTTAACTTTCTTTTACATCCATACAGAAACATTTGTGGGGAAAGCTATACCTGCCAAAGAATCACAAAATTGCTTCAAAATCACTGACAAGTTATTATTGTACAAACAGAGGCCACAGTGCCATCTAGTGAATGTTACTCATTTATTTCTGTTGATCACAAGCTCATTTTCACTCCTATAATGGAAAGGCATGATTTTTGGTATTTCATATAGCAAACAGAATCAATATAAAACCAGCATATGAGACATGGTTGTTTGCACTTTAGGTCTTATAAATATTCTATAAATAGTCTCATCTTGGGGCTGTTGTAAGTCTTATGACCATACTGTGCTTTGAGGTTATGGTTTAGTTTTATCAATCTATAGTGATACAATGACATTCATATATCTAAACTGCAGATACAAGCTGAGGATGGAATTTCTGTACTGAGTTAAAGAGTACTCAATTGTGTATTACTATTAACTTATAAACTATCACCAAAAGACTCCATTATCCCTCTCTTAACAAATATTAAAGTTTTATTATGATTTGCAGTAAATTCCATTATATCAAGTTGTAATAAATTGCTCATATACTTGTAACCCAAGCTCATTTCTCCCATACAAAGTCTGTCAATTCAAGTCTATGACTTTTACAAGCCAAACACTTTAACATCTTCGAAAATAATAAAATTAGGATATTGGGCTTAAGGTGCTACAAGTTTCCCGAAGGCAGAGTTGATGTCTATGAAACTGCAGAGTTTAATATTGCCTCAAAAAATGTACTGGAGATACTGAATAGATAATGGTGATTAAAAATTTACATTTCTACAAGTTAGAAAATAAAATAAACTACCTAAATTTAGCATTGTTATCTCAGAGTGATGTCACCAAATGCATGAATTGATGAATCTGTAACATAACCTACTAAGAGTTCAGAAAATAGACTCTCCAACCTCTTTAACCTATTCAAATTGACTTATGATCTATGATTCAATGTTTCATGTTAAAAGAAAGGAACTGAGCTATAGAAAGGAATAATGGCATGATTTTTTAAATAACATAATCTCATTCACTTCTGATAATCAAAGACACTCACATATTTGGTTACTTTTAATTTCCAATTATCCACAATAGGAAGGACAGAAATAGCATGAACAAATAGAATTCCTACATCAGGGAAACTGACAACCATTTATGGACTTTCTATGACTATTTTTTTTATATAATGAGTGTTTACTAAGCAATAGGCTCTATGCTAGATATCAGACAAAATAAAGATATGGCCCTATCTTAGAGGAGGTATCAATTTAATAGGGAGCTAAGATAGGTATAGGGCTTTCCCGTGCCTCAGGGTAAAGAATCTGTCTGTAATGCAGGAGACGTGGGTTTGATTCCTGGGTCAGGAATATTTCCTGGAGGAGGAGATGGCAACCCACTCCAGTATTCTTGCCTGGAAAATCCCATGGACAGAGGAGCTTGGTAGGCTACAGTCGATAGTGTCACAAAGAGTAGAACATAACTGAAGTGACTTAGCATGTAAAAACTAAGAAATTTTATCTGATTCAATAAACATAGTTTTGTAAATTTCTGAACAATGCTCACATAGATCAAGGGAAAGAGTGAAAAAAATCACATAATAAAATTAACCAGGCTAGGTGGGAATAGCAAAATAGTAAAATATGACGAACTGTGTGATTTTTTTCACCTTTCTACCTCTCTTAGTGCACAGTAGACTATTCTTACATATGGAGGGTATCAAATCGGTATCTGGTAAGTTTAACACTAGAAAAATAAAATGGAGAAATATACTAACAGTAATCAAGTAGGCAATCTGGTCTTAAATGATATAATGACAAACTGAGTATACATATTAGAACCCACCTGGTTTCCTGCTGTCTTATTCTTCCCATCCTTACTACTAATACCATTTGAAATCCCAATTATAGGCTCAGTCCTACACTAGGCTCTAGATCCAAAGCTAACACAAAGGAAATTTAAGAAGCATTGCTTCAAGTCTTAGAAACTCTATTATCTATTCACTTTGTATTCTCTTTTAGGTAATTGCAGTCTGGCTCCCCACGCCTGAGCTCCACTCTTTAGAGCCACGAATCCCAGTCACTTGAGGTTTGGAGCGTGACCTTGCTTTTTTCAATATATCTACACATACGCCCAGTGATGTAAAGATTTTAGCCCTGCATCTGAGTCCAAATCTCAGTGACTGAAGACCTGTTCCCTGACTGATGAGCTTATGTGATACCAACCACCTATGTCCCTGACTTATGGAATCTTTCCAACTTAAACTTTCCCCACTGCCATAATCTTCTGATTTGCTCATTAGGATACCCTGATGCCAACTGCTTTACTGAGTTGAAGGCAACTTGTTCATCTCTGTAACTTCAGAGACTATTACAGTATCTCATACTATATTCTTTCCATCTTGATGAGCTGATGAGATATCCCTCCTTGGCCTGCAGATGTATTCATCTCGCAGCTCTAGGTCTCAGTACTTCTCAATCTGCCAGATTAACACAAATCATAGAAGTCACAAAAGCTTTGTGATTCTCTTCTTTATATGTCTTTAAGTAAGCAGTGGGAAATTATCTTTCTGAAATAGTTAATGGTATTCTGAGCAGAAATATAATTAATTAGGTAACAAAATCTATGTGACATCTTTTCAGGTCTTTAAATAAATAGTAGTCAACTATCTTTCTGAAACAATTAAATGTTAGCCTGTGTAGAAATACAATGAGGTAAATAAACTTTCAACTTCTCTTTCAGGACTGTGAATTTATAACAAACTAAATGGTAAATACTCTTGTGAAAGAAAATCTTGAGTATTCATTCAGAGAAATAATCCTTCAAAGTAAATCTTCAAAGAAAATGTCTAGAATTACCATCTTTAATCACATATTTTCCCCTAAATTTGTCATTAAAACTTAAAAAGCAACCAAAACCTTCATACTGGGTCCATACTTGTCCATCCCATTTCTTTGTCCTACGACAAGGCAATATACTCCCTTCCCATCATGTGCATACTATTATGATAAGCAAACGAAGAAATGTCCCAATTGCTTTGGGAAGTACGAATGGCTCTATCCTCAAACGAGTTTTATCTATTTTACCTTCTAGAATTTTGTCCTGATAAGAAATCAAATGCTGAACTTTTTAAAGAGTGGTAGAAAGGCAAGAGCTAACCCAGAAAGTAAAAGAATGATATTTCATCCAAATATCTGTTCAAACTGAATGCTTCACCAAAAAAGTGTTTACCTTAAAATTTATTCTGCTTCAAAGGACAATACTGCAGATGGTTAGTAGCAGATAACCTTGTTCATGAATTCCAATGATACACTACCTTTCAGAACAGTGTTAAAAATAAACAGTAAGCAGTCTATAAATTCTTTCTCCTATTCTGAAGTTCTACTTATTAATGTTCATAGTGTGTGTGTCAGGAAACTACCAATTTGGCTTTGTCCTGTATGAAGGAACTCTCAGATATCCTAACCTAACAGTCAAGATATCACATTGTAATTATCTCTCTGCCACTGCCTGTAACAAATGCTATCTTTGAAAAAAGCATAAATCAAAAGACCTTATCAAATTGTCGCAAATGCAGGTAACAAGAAGCCATGTTCCTCTGTAGCTTGGCCAAGTCCAGATCAGATTGATCAACTGCATAAAATCTCAGAGAATAACAGTACCAGTTCAGGGCATCATTAAAATTTTGTACCTGAAATTTAAAAAGAAATAACAAAATTACAGAGATAGCTCTACATTTGATCATAATTGGTCCAAGTCATCTCTAGAAACAAAAAATGGTAATGCTTAAATTTTTAGTCAACTAAAACACATCTTTAGTTGGATGCTAAGTGCATTTTATTACCAGCCTTGATGAATATGTCATAGTGGCAATCAATATTCTCTCTTCTTCCCTCACATCAACAAAATTAAAAGGCAATATATGAAATTAGAGAAAATACATGCAAACTACATATTCAATCAGAATATGACCCATCAGAACAAGACCCAGTTTACCTCACAGTTAGTATCTCCCAACAGGAAGCTGCCATAAGCCTCTTATCCTTACCTGTCCGAGGTCAGACAGAATGAAAACCACAATCACAGAAAATTAATGAAACTGATCACATGGAGCACAGCCTTGTCTAACTCAATAAAACTATGAGCCATACCATGTAGAGTCACTCAAGATGGACGGGTCATGGTGGAAAGTTCTGACAAACTGTGGTCCACTGGAGAAGGGAATGGCAAACCACTTCAGTATTCTTGCCTTAGGAACCCCATGAACAGTATGAAAAGGCAAAAACATAGGACACAGAAAGAGGAACTCCCCAGGTCGGTTGGTGCCCAGTATGCTACTGGAGAAGAGTGGAGAAATAACTCTAGAAAGAATGAAGAGACAGAGAAAAAGCAAAAACAATACCCAGTTGCGGATGTGACTGGTGATGGGAGTAAATTCCAATGCTATAAAGAACAATATTGCATAGGAACCTGGAAGGCTACGTCCATGAGTCAAGGTAAATCGGACATGGTCAAGCAGGTAATGGCAAGAGTGAACAGTGACATTTTAGGAATCAGTGAACTAAAATGGACTGGAATGGGCGAATTTGATTCAGATGACCATTATATCTACTACTGTGGGCAAGAATCCCTTTGAAGAAATGGAGTAGCCATCATAGTCAACAAGAGCCCAAAATGCAGTACTTTGGTGCAATCTCAAAAATGACAAAATGATCACTATTCATCTGCAAGGCAAACCATTCAGTATCACAGTAATCCAAGTCTATGTCCCGACCAGTAATGCCAAAGAAACTGAAGTTGAATGGTTCTATAAAGACCCACAAGACCTTCTAGAACTAACCCCCCAAAAAGATGTCCATTTCATCATAGGGGACTGGAAGGCAAAAGTAAGAAGTCAAGAGATACTTGGAGTAACAGGCATATTTGGCCTTGGAGTACAAAATGAAGCAGGGCAAAGGCTAACAGAGTTTTGCCAAGAGAACGCACTGGTCATAGCAAACACCCTCTTTCAACAACTCAAGAGAATACTCTACACATGGACTTCATCAAATGGTCAATATTAAAATCAGATTGATTATATTCTTTGCAGCCAAAGATGGAAAAGCTCTATATAGTTACCAAAAATAAGACTGGGTGGTGACTGTGGCTCAGATCATGAACTCCTTATTGAAAAATTCAGACTTAAATTGAAGAATGTAGGGAAAACCACTAAGCCATTCAGGTATGACCTAAACAAAATCCCTTATGGTTATACAGTGGAAGTCACAAATAGATTCAAGGGATCAGATCTCATAGACAGAGTGCCTGAAGAACAATGGATGGAGGTTCGTGACACTATACAGGAGGCAGGGATCAAGATCATACCCCAAAAAAAGTAATGCAAAAAGGCAAAATGGTTGTCTGAGGAAGACTTATAAATACCTGATAAAAGAAGGGATGCTAAAGGGAAAGGAGAAAAGGAAAGAGAAACTCATCTGAATAAGAGTTTCAAAGAATAGCAAGGATAGATAAGAAAGTCTTCTTCAATGATCAATGCAAAGAAATAGACGAAAACAACAGAATGGGAAACACTAAAGATCTCTTCAAGAAAATCAGAGATACCAAGGGAACATTTCACACAAAGATGGGCACAATAAATGACAGAAATGGTATGGACCTAACAGAACCAGAAGATAATAGGAGGTGGCAAGAATACACAGAAGAACTATACAAAAAAGATCTTAATGATCCAGATAATCACGATGGTGTGATCACTCACCTAGAGTCAGACCTCCTGGAGTGTGAGGTCAAGTGAGCCTGAGGAAGCATCACTATGAATAAAGCTAGTGGAGGTGATGGAATTCCAGCTGAGCTACTTCAAATCTGAAAAGATGATGCTGTGGAATTGCGGAACCCAATATGCCAGCAAATTTGGAAAACTCAGCAGTGGCCACAGGACTGGAAAAGGTCAGTTTCCATTCCAATCCCAAAGAAAGGGAATGTCAAAGAATGTTCAAACTACTGTACAATTGTACCATCTCACACGCTAGCAAAGTAATGCTCAAAATTCTCCAAGTGAGGCTTCAACAATACATGAACCAAGAATTTCCAGATTTTCAAGCTGGATTTAGAAAAGGCAGAGGAACCAGTGATCAAATTGCCCACATCTGTTGGATCACAGAAGAAGCAAGAGAGTTACAGAAAAACATCTACTTCTGCTTTATTGACTATGCCAAATTCTTTGACTGGGTGGATCACAACAAAATGTGGAAAACTCTTATTTAAAGAGATTGGAATACCAGACCACGTTACTTGCCTCCTAAGAAATCTGTATGCAGGTCAAGAAGCAACAGTTAGAACCAGACATGGAACAACAGACCGTTTCCAAATTGGGAAAGGAGTACATCAAGGCTGTATATTGTCACCTTGATTATTTAATGCAGCCATGAAATTAAAAGACACTTACTCCTTGGAAGGAAAGTTATGACCAACCTAGACAGCATATTAAAAGGCAGAGATGTTCCAAAATGGGAAAGGAGTATGTCAAGGCTGTATATTGTCACCCTGCTTATTTAACTTATATGCAGAGTACATCGTCGGAAATTCAGGGCTGGATGAAGCACAAGCTGGAATCAAGACTGCAAGGAGAAATACCAATAACCTCAGAAACGCAGATGACACCACCCTTATGGCAGAAAGTGAAGAGGAACTAAAGAGCCTCTGGATGAAGTGAAAGAGGAGAGTGAAAAAGCCGGCTTAAAACTCAACATTCAATAAACTAAGATCATGGCATCTGGTCCCATCACTTCATGGCAAATAGATGGGAAAACAATGGAAACAGTAAGAGCCTTCATTTTCTTGGGCTCCAAAATCACTGCAGATGGTGACTGCAGCCATGAAATGGAAGGACACTTGCTCTTTGGAAGAAAAGCTATGACCAACCTAGACAGCATATTAAAGAGCAGAGACATTACTCTGCCAACAAAGGTCCGTCTAGTGAAAGCTTTGGTTTTTCAGTAGTCATGTATGGATGTGAGTGTTGGACTTTAAAGAAAGCTGAGCACCAAAGAACTGATGCTTTTGAACCGTGGTATTGGACAAGATTCTTGAGAGTCCCTTGGACTGCAAGGAGATCAAACCAGTCCATTCTAAAGGAAATCAGTCCTGAATATTCATTGGTGGGACTGGTGCTGAAGCTGAAACTCCAATACTTTGGCCACCTGATGTGAAGAACTGACTCATTTGAAAAGACCCTGAAGCTGGCAAAGATTGAAGGCAGGAAGAGAAGGGGACAACAGAGGATGAGATGGTTGGATGGCATCACCAATTCAAGGGACATGAGTTTGAGCAAGCTCTGGGAGTTGATGATGGACAGGGAAGCCTGGCCTTCCTCAGTCCATGGGGTCATAACAAGTGGGACACAACTGAGCAACTGATCTGAACTGACTGACATATTCAATATGGAATTATCCAAAATATATAAGGAACTTCTACAACTCAGTAGCAAAAAATAAAAACACAAACAGAAACAAACAAACAAAAATCCCTAAAACTCCATTAAAAATGTGCTAAGGATCTGGGCAAGCTTTTCCAAAGAAGATACACAAATGGCCAATAGGTACATGAAAAGGTGCTCAGCATCACTAACCATCAGGGAAATGCAAATCAAAATCACAGTGAGCTATCTCCTCACAGCTGTCACAATGGCTAGCATCAGAAAGACAAGATTAACAAATGGTAGGGAGGATGTAGAGAAAAGGTAAACCTTGTATATTGTTGGTGGGAGTGTAAACTGGTATGGCTGCTATGGAAAACAGTATGCAGATTTCTCAAGAAATTAAAAATAGAATACAATACAATTCAGTAATTCCATTTCTGCATATATATCGAAAGAAAATGAAATTATTATCTCAAAGAGATATTTGTACTCAAATGTCCATTACAGCAAGCCAAGGTGTGGAAACAACGTAAGTTGTCATTTACTGATGAATGTGGATAAAGAAAATATGGTATATGTATACAATGGAAGTGACAGAATTTCAGCTGAGTTACTTAAAATCCTAAAAGATGAAGCTGTTAAAGTGGTACACTCAACATGCCAGCAAATTTGGAAAGCTCAGTAGTGGCCACAGGACTGGAAAAGGTCAGTTTCCATTATAGTCCTAAATAAGGGCACCACCAAAGAATGCTCAAACCATGATACAATTGTCCTCATTTCACATGCTAGCAAGGTTATGCTCAAAATCCTTCAAGCTAGGCTTCAGCAGTATGTGAACCAAGAACTTCCAGATATACAAGCTGGGTTTTGAAGAGGCAGAGGAACCGGAGATCAAATTACTAACATCTATTGGAGCATGGAGAAAGCAAGGGAGTTCCAGAGAAACGTCTACTCTGATTCATTGACTATGTAAAGCCTTTGCCTGTGTGGATCACAACAAACAGGAAAATTGTTAAAGAGATGGGAATACCAGACCACCTTACCTGTCTCCTGTGAAATCTGTATGTGGGTCAAGAAGCAACAGTTAGAATTGGACATGAACAACTGCCTGGTTCAAAATTGGGAAAGGAATATGACAAGGCTGTATATTGTCACCCTGCTTATTTAACTTATATGCAGAGTATATCATGTGAAATGCAGGGCTGGATGAATCACAAGCTAGAATCAAGACTGCTGGGAGAAATAGCAACAATCTCAGATATGCAGATGATACCACCCTTATGGCAGAAAGCGAAGAGGAACTAAAGAATCTCTTGATAAAGGTAAAAGAGGAGAGTGAAAAAGCTGGCTTAAAATTCAGCATTCAAAAAACTAAGATCATGGCATCTGGTCCAATCACTTCATGGCAAATAAAAGGGGAAAAAGTGGAAACATTGACAGATTTTCTTTTATTGGGCTCTAAAATCACTGTGGACAGTAACTATAGCCATGAAATTAAAAGATGCTTGCTCCTTGGAAGGAAAAGTATGACAAGTTTAGACAGCGTATTAAAAAGCAGACATTACTTGGCTGACAAAGGTCTGTATGGTTCAAAGCTATGGTTTTTCCCATAGTCATGTATGGATGTGAGAGTTGAACCATAAAGAAGGCTGAGCACCAAAGAATTGATGCTTTTGAATTGTGATGCTGGAGAAGACTGCTCAGAGTCCCTTGGACTGCAAGGAGATCAAACCAGTCAATCCTGAAGAAAATCAACCCTTAACAGTCATTGAAAGACCACGGAGAGCTGACTTATTGGAAAAGACCCTGATGCTGGGAAAGACTGAAGGCAAAAGGAGAAGAGGGTGGCAGAGGATGAGATGGTTAGATAGCATCACCAACCGACTCAATAGACTTGAATTTGAACAAACTCTGGGAGATAGTGAAGGACAGGGAAGTCGTGTGCTGCAGTTCATGGTGTTGCAAGGAGTCAGACACCGACTTAGTGACTGAACAACAACAAACTCCCAGTGTGGATGAATCACATCTTAGCATTTTTAAATAAATTCTTGTCCACTTCCCATTAATGTTCTGCATTACATTTACTAGTATATAAGCAGAAAGAGATTATTAAGTATTTGATGCTCTATGATTTTTATAGTGAACACATTATTTTATTTGTTATTGTGAAGAAAGAATATAAAGAATAAAAATAGATTATTCCCCAACCTCATAACTTCTGGCAGCTTGTCTCCAAATAATGCTGTGGAAATAGCCTATTAATTCTGATGCCAGTGGTTTTCCTGTTTGGTGACCTGAAAAAAAAAAAAAAACAAGCTCTAAAAACAAGAATCAAGATCTATTACATTAAAGAGCAATAACTGTATTCAGAACCTATAATCCTTACATAATGGCTACAAACACAACCACATTCAGACAGGTTTTCATCATCAATTTTAGATTTACTAGCAAAATTGATTATATAATACAATCAGAGTTTGCTAGAATCACTGTAATTTGCCCATCAGTCTGTAATAGTTTTCCAGCCCAGTTTCTTTTTAATGTATTTTCTATGTTCCAAATTTGATCATCATCTGGTGCCTTAATGTTATTATCAGTGAACAGACAGCAATGCTAGAAATCATTAATAAGAAGTGTTTATACTATTATATACTAACTAGATCAGTTTAAGTTCACAAGAAAAGGCCAATTATACCTTAAAGCCTTTGTAAAATACTTTAAGACCATGTTTACACATAAACTCTATTACTTTAAATTGTAACTCATGTCTGATTGTTTGTGGTCTAGACATTTACAGGGTTCAAATACATTAGCACACACTAAAGTAAAGTTTAATCTATACTAGAATTCTATACCCCTTTCAATTCCACCCCTTTGTCACAATCAATTTCCACAAAAGTCTTGATTAGAAAACAGAGCCTCTCAGCAAAAGACACACAGATGTATAGAACAGTCTTTTGGACTCTGTGGGACAGGGCGAGGGTGGGATGATTTGGGAGAATGGCACTGAAACATGTATATTATCATATGTGAAACGAATCACCAGTCCAGGTTCGATGCATGAGACAGGGTGCTCGGGGCTGGTGCACTGGGATGACCCAGAGGGATGGGATGGGGAGGGAGATGGGAGGGGGGTTCAGGATGGGGAACACATGTATACCTGTGGCGGATTAATGTCAGTGTATGGCAGAACCACTACAATATTGTAAAGTAATTAGCCTCCAATTAAAATAATTAAGTTTATATTTTTAAAAAAAAGAAAACAGAGTCTGACCCCTCAACCCAGTCAGCAGACAAAGTTTGTTTCACGACTTAGTCAAAACTAGTCACATGAAAGTAAAAAGCCCTGTAAAGTACATACCTAAAATATTATAATACTTTGAAAGTATAAATGTATAATTAGATACCATAATACAGCTTTGGCTAACTGTAATCATGGAAAATTAAGTTATTCTAGATAATAAAGTTTTCCAGTTGCCTGGCAGTTTACTTTCATCAAACATAAAATATTTTTAAGAAATCTAAATCACTTAACGTTCTTAATTTTTCTAAAAATCATGTTTTAAGAATTAGGTTTTTCTTTTTTTAATAATTTTTTTTAATGAATAATGTTTTAAAAGAAAGAAAGAAAAATGCTCAGGAAATGAACCAAGAAAAAAGTCCATTTTACCACCTAGATCTCTGATACAATGAGAGAAACCAACATGAAACACTTTCATCTCAGCCAGATCCTCCCAGAGTGGCTCTTCCAGCCTTCAGTGGTGGGGAGCTATTATCCATAAATATATCTAGTCTTCTTTTTTTAAAAAATTTATTTATTTTAAACATACTTTCTAGTTTATGAAGCACAATTTAACTATTTTCAAACTATTCAAGGTCAACAATAACAGCCATTGTATTTTATTATACTGTTAGTATATCATAATGATGACTTCAGTAATTATTATATATTACATATTATTATACTTTTAAAAGTATTTTAAATGGTTTTATACAATTTATAAGGTTTTTCCCTCCCTTGTGATCAGCATATCTTTATATTTCCTTGTAGGTCCTTTCTCCCTTTATAATATGCTACCATTAAAAAGCTGAGGGTTGGAAAATCACATAACCAAGCTTATCAACACTGGGTCTAAAAATAACTGGGTTCTTAGTGAGGATATGGAGGAAAAGTGTCATCAGTAAAAAACACTTCATAGAATCTAGAGTTCAAAAGACTCAAGAGATTATTTAGTCAAAAGATTTCCTTTAAAAATCAATGCCTTTGTTTTTATAAAACATGATTCATACTTATAAAATTCAAGCAATCTGGTAAACAACAAAAAAGCAACAAATCACCAAAACTTCCACCACTCAGAATAAATCCCAGTGTTAACATTAGTGACTATCGTTCCAGTAATATCTCTAAATGTATAGAGTTGAAAGAACAGATTAGGTTAAGAATTTTCTAAGAAAGAATTCACACTATCTGTGTTCTTCAGAGTATAAGGTTCTACAGAGATGGGGGATTAATGGAATGCTGAGATTTGGCTCTACATCTTTGCTTTAGCTACAACTCTAGTCTGTTTTATTGGGGGCAGGGTTCACATAAGATTGCATCACAAAAGGATGCTACTGCAGCTAAAAAGAAATAAAAAACTAGGAATGTAGTTCATAACCTTCATTATATAGTTGGAAAAAACCAAGATCCAGAGATATTACTGACTTGCCTGAAGGTACACAAACTAATCTGAGATCAAACTGAAACATTAAATTAGGCTTCTAACCTCATAATTCTCCATTACAGATGAGTTTTAAGCTGAGTCTATTTTTGTTGATATTTTGTTATTTTTGTTTAGTTTTCATCCTGGCTTACCACATAGGAGGAATCTGGTTAGGTGAATCATTATAGTTAAAGGATATTAGGGAGGAAAAATAGTAAGTGAGAAAAAGAAAAAAAATCTGTTGATCTAAGGATTTTTTTTTACTGTTCTGATATCCATCTCAGAAGGACAGGCAGCATATTAACACTTTTCTAAAATATCTGCAAAAATCCTACTGACCTATAATGACTTGTTCAATCTTCTCCTTTGCAAACAATACTTCCTTCCTTTGTAAAAGCATGTCAATGTGGAACAGTAGAGCTTTAGTAGTATCTTCTGATGACTTAAAATGTTCACAGATAATCTTCAGGAAATAAAATCCAACAGATTCTCTGTTCAAGAAAACACAATTTTAAGTGGTGTGAATAAAATAACCTTTCTTAAATTAATAAGGCTAAAATTTGTTTGAGCATGACCAAAACAGGCAAGATAAAACTATATCTGAACTTAATACCATTAAATATCTCAACAAAACTATTTGTCAATAACAAAGAATTTAATTCAGTTCCTATTTAATTTATCAAGCCACGAGCATTTTCTTCTTATATACAGTCAGATAATCATCTCTCTACTAAATCTAATTTATTCAAACTGATGCCAATTTATAAATACTGGAACATGAGATCCATGAAGTGAAGATACACAAACAGACATTAGAAATTTACTACTCCCTTGTCATGAGAATTTCTATGATCTACTCTAGAAGCAACTTTCAAATATACCATATAGCACTGTTTACTACAGTCAACATGTATGTTACATTCTCAATATTCATTTATTTTATAACTGGAACTTTGTATCTTATGACTATCTTCTCAAGTCATTATGCTGTACAGCTTAAACTTAACATAGTGCTGAATGTCAATTATATCTTAATAAAACTGAAAGAATAAAAAGAAATTTGCCAATTCCCTTGGTCAACAACTCCTTTAAAAATTATGCTTCATTACACAAATAATATAACAGTAGATAATGACTATGTTAAATGCAAAGAGTTCATGGATTGGAAGACTTAGTATTCTTAAGATGGGAACACACCCAAAGTGATCTACAGATGTAATGCAATCCCTGTGAATATCCCAAAGATATTTTTTGCAGAAATGGAAAACTCCATCCTAAACTTATACGGAATATCAAGGTACCCAGAAGAGCCAAAACAATCCTGAAACAGAAGAACAAAGCTGATGGACTCATACTTCATGATTTCAAATTTTACTACAAAGATACAGTGATCAAAATAGTGTGGTACTGGCATAAAGATACATATACACCAATGGAATAAAATAAAGAGTTTAGAAAGAAATTCTCACATATATGGTCAAATGATTTTCAACAAGGATGACAAGACCATTACATGCAGGAAAAAAAAATCATTTTTTCAATAAATAGTGCTGGGACAGTTGGATATCCATAAGCAAAAGAATGAAATTCTTCCTTTTCATTCTTTAATTAAATCACCTTACATCATATAAAAAAACGAACTCAAAATGGATCAAAGACCTGAACAGAAGAACTAAAATATAAAACTTATAGAAGAAATTATAGGGGAAAATCTTTGTAATACTGGATTCAACAATGATTTCTTTGATATGACACTAAAAGCACAAATAACAAAATTAATAACAGATAAACTTGACTGTCAAAATTTTTAAATTTTGTGTATCAAACAATACAATCAAAAGGGTGAAAAGGCAACCTATGAAATGGGACAGAATATCTGCAAAACATACATCTGATACACAGTTAATATCCAGATATATAAATTCAACAATAAAAAACCAACTGACTTAAAAATGGGCAGAGAGGTTGAATAGACATTTTTGCAAAGAAGGCTTTCCCTGGTGGCTTAGTTGGTAAAGAGTCTGCCTGCAGTGTGGAAGACCTGGGTTCGATCCCTGGGTCAGGAAGATCCCCTGGAGAAGGAAATGTGAACCCCAACCCAACTCCTTTCCTGGAGAATTCCATGGACAGAGGAGCATGGTGGGCTACAGTCCATGGGGTCAGAAACAGTTGGACATGACTGAGTGACTTTCACTTTCAAAACTCAACAATAAAAAACCAACTGACTTTTAAAATGGGCAAAGACGTTGAATAGACATTTTCCTCAAAAAAGATACACAAATGGCAAAAATCACATGAAAAGATACTAAATATGACTAATCCATTAGTGAAATGCAATCAAAAGCACAATGATACCACCTCATACCCATTAAAATAGCTACTGTCAAAAAAACAAAAACAAAAAAATGTTGGCCAGAATGTGGAAAAATGGGTAAACTTGTGTACTATTGGTGAGAATGTAAAATCGTATAGCTGCTATGCAAACCAGTATGGTGATTCCTATAAAAAATTAAAAATAATTTCCATACAATCTACTAATTCTACTTTGTATAAGCTCAAATAACCAAAAATAAAGTCTCAAAGAAATATTTTTACATCCAATGGCATATCAGTATTGTTCACAATAGCCAAAAGGTTGAAGTATTACAAGTCTCCATCGATGGATAAATGATTAAACAAAATGCAGTACATAACACAGAGGAATATTATTTAGCCTTTAAAGAGGAGGAAATTCTGACACATGCTACAACACGGATAAAACTTGAGGATACTATGCTAAGTGAAATACAATAGTTGGAAAAGCACAAAGAGTGTATAATTTCACTAATATGAGGTACCTACAGTAGTCAAATTCATAGACAGAAAGTAGAATGGTATATTCCACAGATGGGGGAAAGTGGAGAACTGGGACTTGTTACGTAATGGGTACAAAGTTGCAATTCTGCAAGATGAAAAGAGCTCAAGAGTTTGCTTAATGAACTTTAAACACTATGAATGTTTACTCTTAACAATTTAAGAGCAAACTTAACACTCTTAACAATTTAAGTGTACTTAACACTGATGAATTGTATACTTAAAAATAGTTAAGATGGTATGTTTTATGTTTTATATATTTTACAACAAAAATTTTTTTAATTTCTTTAAAAAATTAATTAAACAACTGAAATATATTTTCTGCATCTATTGAGAATATCATATGAGATTTATTTTTCAATTTGCTAATGTGGTGTATCACATTGATTTACTTGCATATATCAAAAAATCCATGCATCCGTGGGATAAATCACACTTGATCACAATGTATGATCCTTTCAATGTGTTTTTGTATGTAGTTCGCCAGTATTTTGTTGACAGTTTTTGTGTCTATGTTCATCAGCAATATTGGCCTATAATTTTCTTTCTTAGGGGATATCTTTGTCTGGTTTTGATAACAGGGTGTGTAAGGGCAGCCTTACACAGAATAAGCTTGGGAATGTTCCTTTCTGTGCAATTTTTTGGAAGAATTTCAGATGGGTAGGCAATGGCAACCCACTCCAGTACTGTTACCTGGAAAATCCCATGGACGGAGGAGCCTGGTAGGCTGCAGTCCATGGAGTCGCTAAGAGTCGGACACAACTGAGCGACTTCACTTTCATGCATTGGAGAAGGAAATGGCAACCCACTCCAGTATTCTTGCCTGGAGAATCCCAGGGATGGTGGAGCCTGGTGGGCTGCCGTCTAGTGGGTTGCACAGAGTCAGACACGACTGAAGAGACTTAGCAGCAGCAGGTATTAACTACCCATCTGAAGGGACTGGCAAACCACTTCAATATACTTGCCTTGAGAACCCCATACTTCATGAACAGTATGAAAAGGCAAAGTGATACGATACTGAAAGAGGAACTTCCCAGGTTGGTAGCTGCCCAATATGCTACCGGAGATCAGTGGAGAAGTAATTCCAGAAAGAATGAAGGGATGGAGTTAAAGCAAAAACAACACCCAGTTGTGGATGGGACTGGTGATAGAAGCAAAGTCCAATGCTGTAAAAAGCAATATTGCACAGGAACCTGGAATGTTAGGTCCATGAATCAAGGCAAATTGGAACTGGACAAACAGGAGATGGCAAGAGTGAACATCGAAATTCTAGGAATCAGTGAACTAAGATGGACTGGAATGGGTGAATTTAACTCAGATGACCATTATATCTACTACTGTGGGCTAGAATCTCTTAGAAGAAATGGAGTAGCCATCATAGTCAACAAAAGAGTCCGAAATGCAATACTTGGATGCAACCTAAAAAACGACAGAACAATCTCTGTTCATTTCCAAGGCAAACCATTCAATATCATGGTAATCCAAGTCTATGCCCCAACCAGTAACGCAGAAGAGGCAGAAGTTGAATGGTTCTATGAAGACCTACAAGACGTTCTAGAACTAACACACAAAAAAGATGTCCTTTTCATTATAGGGGACTGGAATGCAAAAGTAGGAAGTCAAGAAACACCTGGAGTAAAAGGCAAATTTGGCCTTGGAGTACAGAATGAAGCAGGGCAAAGCCTAATAGAGTTCTGCCAAGAGAACGCACTGGTCATAGGAAACATCCTCTTCCAACAACACAAGAGAAGACTCTACACATGGACATCACCAGATGGTCAACACTGAAATCAGATTGATTATATTCTTTGCAGACAAAGATGGAGAAGCTCTATACAGTCAGCAAAAACAAGACTGGGAGCTGACTGTGGCTCAGATCATGAACTCCTTATTGCCAAATTCAGACTCAAACTGAAGAAAGTGGGGGAAACCACTAGACCATTCAGGTATGACCTAAATCAAATCCCTTATGACTATACATGGAAGTGAGAAATCAATTTAGGGACTAGATCTGACAGAGTGCTTGATGAACTATGGATGGAGGTTCGTGACACTGTACAGAAGATACAAATCAAGACCATCCCCAAGAAAAAGAAATGAAAAAAGCAAAATGGCTGTCTGTGGAGGCCTTACAAAGAGCTGTGAAAAGAAGAGAAGCCAAGGGCAAAGGAGAAAAGGAAAGATACACCCATTTGAATGCAGAGTTCCAAAGAATAGCAAGGAGAGATAAGAAAGCCTTCCTCAGCGATCAACGCGAAAAAATAAAGAGGAAAACAATAGAATGGGAAAGACTAGAAATCTCTTCAAGAAAATTAGAGATACTAATGGAACATTTCATGCAAAAATGGGCTCAAAAAATGACAGAAATGGTATGGACCTAAAGGAAGCAGAAGATATTAAGAAGAGGTAGCAAGAATAAACAGAAGAACTGTACAAAAAAGATCTTCACAACCCAGATAATCACGATGGTGTGATCACTCACACTCACCTAGAGCCAGACATCCTGGAATGTGAAGTCAAGTGGGCCTTAGGAAGCATCACTATGAACAAAGCTAGTGGAGGTGAGAGAATTCCAGTTGAGCTATTTCAAATCTTAAAAGATGATGCTGTCAAAGTGCTGCACTCATTATGCCAGCAA